GATATCCTAATTGGGCCATGGCAATGGCATATAGTTGACCGGTTGGTCAAACGAGGCCAAATTATCGATATCGGAAATTTATCAGATAACAGCCCAAGAAGGGATTTCGGAGACGTCTAAATTAAAGTTGAGAGATGCATATTCATTCTAAGGTCCAATAAGGATTGGGAACAAGTGTTATATTTTATTCGACCCGGTAAAATAAAATATAATTAAAATAGTCCGGAAAATACAACTTTCGTGACCGATTCTACACTTGGGGACATAAAGGGATGACCTCCCACATGAGTGGGGGCCACCCCACGAATTTGGTGCTGCAGATGTCAAGGGGAGCCGCACAAAGAGAAGGGGGAGGGGAAAGAGAAGGGGTTGAGGGGAAAGGCATTAAATGGAGTAGGGCCTCCCACATGCCATGATTGTGAGAAATGCCAAGAAGGCATTCTCAATCATACCAACTCACCCCATTTCGTATCAGGCATCAACCAAGTGAGAGGAGATCTGCAAATAAACCATTTTCATCCATCATACACGCACCAAGTTAAGGGAGGAAGAAGAAAGGGAAAAGAGAAGAGAAAAGAGGAGTTTAGGTGGGAAAACTTGTGTTTAACAAGGTAATGACTCCATTAATCCTATTTCTTGTTCTTCAATCCTCTTGTATGATTATTCAATCATATTTCACCCCCTAGTATTGTTCTACACGTTGGGATGTGTAGAAAGAGGGGTTGGAAGGTAGTTCTAAGCCCAATAATGGACTTAGAAGCCAAAGTGACTGGTTCGCCGGAAAATAACCTTTTGGAGGTTATTTGTATTACTATGGGTGTTATGATGATAAAACCTTGTTAGTAACTTGTCTAAGGTATTCAAGGAACTTTCACGGAGTTCAAAGAGTCGCCAGAGTTGTCGCCGGAGTTCGTCGAAGTTCGTCGGAGTTTCGCCGGAGCTAAATCGGGAAGGCTAGAACTTCATAAGCTTCATTAAGGTGAGAAGACGGCTTTATGCTTTATAACTTTTGCGTGAGGCATGAGATTACCTAAAGTAATCAAGGATATGTTTTGTGGAATGATTAAAGATAATCAAGTATTTGCTTATGCCATGATTTTGCATAAAACATAGTTGAAAAGCATGTTATGTAGGTTTGGTGATTAAAAATGTGATAACATATTTTGTGTGATGATCCAGGGATCCAAAATGGTATTTTTGGATCAAGTACATCAAGAAGTATATGTGTATAAAATTTCAAGTTAATCGGACTCCGTTTGGGTGGTCAAAAGGGGCGTTGACCGCCAAGTCAACTGTCATACCCGACCGGGTATTGACACATACCCGACCGGGTCTTTGTTGGAAATCAGCTTTGTGGACTACTGTCTCCTGTACTCGACCGAGTATGGGTTAATACTCGATCGAGTATTGGGTTATGCTCAAAACGGGCAGTTTTGAGCAGGTTAATGTGGGCCGTTCAGGTTGGACCCGCCCACGTTGGTTCCTAAGGTTGGTTATATGACTATAGGGCTAGGTATCGTCCATAGTTGAAGGAACGAAAGGTTAGCCATATCCAGGTTAGGGTTTGGTAAGGATTTAGTTTGGTGTTGAGTATCCCCGGGACATTAAATGATCCTGAAACTCGGTTGGGGTTGAGTATCCCCCGGACATTAAATGATCCTTAAACTCGGTTGGGGTTGAGCATCCCCGGGACTGCAAATGATCCTGAAACTCGGTTGGGGTTGAGCATCCCCGGGACTATAAATGATCCTGAAACTCGGTTGGGGTTGAGTATCCCCGGGACTGCAAATGATCCTGAAACTCGGTTGGGGTTGAGTATCCCCGGGACATTAAATGATCCTGAAACTCGGTTGGGGTTGAGTATCCCCGGGATGCTAAATGCTCCCAAAACTCGGTAGGATATTATGAATGTAGAATGTAGCTGGTGAGCTAGGTAACCGGGAAAGGAGTGAGAAAAGTCAGGTAAGAACTTTATCTCTAAAAGACCCTTTAAGGTAAATGACCTACGGGTTGAGTATTTTACGAGTATATATGCAGTATGTATCATCGGGTGGATGAGAGACATCTATATATATGTATCACCCTATTTTCGGGTCTCGTGTCTGAAACATTAGTTATTCTTCATATAGCCTTCTTGTCACTAGTACTTCTATGGAGTACTGACCCCTCCGGGGGCCCTCACATTTTTCAGGTTGAGGCTAGAGTCCTACTACCTGCACCTTTGCCTAGGGTGATCGATCGAGAAGGAAGACGTGGTTCGTGCTTCCATTCTTATTTCAAATGTATAAACTGCTCATGGATTTTTGAACAATATTTTCATTAAAACAGTTGGGGGCCTGCGTGCCCGTGTTTGCCACGTGTGGCTAAGTATCAAACATATTATTATTTCCGCATTTGTTTGATTATGATATTGATGTTGATTGTATGTGTTTACTAATCGGTTTGGCAATAGAATCAATCGGACGCCTTGTACAACTCAATAGGGATGAACTGTTGTTGTTCTTATCGGGTTGTACGGCGGTTGTCTACGTGGCTCGGATGCGGTCCGGGGCGTGACATAGTATGGTATTAGATAGTGAATAGTAAATGAGAGGATTAAATTCCAATTACATCCTCTTTGAGCTTCCGAGAAATAGATGGTCTCTCAATGGTACAATGGTATGAAGACGACAACGTCACAACTCATATATTGATGAAGCTTCTCGACTTTAGAATGAATCATCCATATTGACCACTCAACTCTTCTATCAATAGTCCGTTAAGAAAATCAACTTCGAAAACATTGTAGCCATCAAGTGACAACAAGAGTAGAAAATGCATATCGAAGAACCTTCTAAAACATGAACTTGAGGCACACTATTTAAGCTCATCAGAAGAAATTGATTATTGTGGACTCACCAAGGCTAGTAAGCAACTAATAGTTCTTATGGAAATATTTCAATGAATAAAATGGTACGTGTGACAGGTAGAGCTTGACTAAATTGGGAATCATACTGCAATTGGATAAGAACACACTCAATCTAGCCTTAGTAACCATAGATAATGGGCCAATTATTATGCTTCCTTTAGTGCCGGACCTACAAGTTTTCTCAAGGGGGTGCTACTGCATGGATGGGAATAAGTTGGGCCAGGTCGGGCGTGACACTATTCTATTGTGTCTAGTTCGTGCAAATTATTTTTAACTAGAAATATATTATCTAATGTCAGTTTCAAGTGATGTACGTGTATGAATGGTAGGTTCTAGTTTTCAACCAATGAAAACAATTACAAACGATTATTAGGCTTTTCAAAAGAAAAACATAAATTGGATTAGAACTGAATTTTTCTTGCACCATTCGTGATTTTTTATTAGAATTCTAGTCATTTTTCATATTATAAATGGTCATAATACGATTCTGAAATAAGATTGTGTCTAAAGCTACACATCTTGTCATATTATCTAATAGTTCCAACTATAAGGGGAGAACTAATACAGAAACTCGAGGTTGGAAGTGGGGTTTTTTGCCCCCCCCCCCCAATCCTCCACTAACTCCCTTCATACCTTACAAAAAGACAAAAATGTGACCAAGAAGGTCATATATTTGGAAAAACAAGTTCTGCTAGATTTTTATGTCACTGCTAGTTTTTATGTCACCCATTTTATGTCACTTTTGAATGTCACTGTCGGTTTTCATGTCACTTTTATACGTCACTTTCACTGTCAAATGTGTCATAATGCTGCCGTCAAATGTGTCACTGTGTCGCCGTTAAATGTGTCACTGTGTCGTTAACCATCTTTGCCCCAACCTTTGGTCACAGTGACATCTCCATGTGACATCTACCTTGCCCGACACCGCCGCCGGATAAAGTGACACCTCCACCGTCAGTGTCAATATGATTGCCGGAAATGTAAATTTCAACCAAATTTGGCTGCCACGCCAACGACACCGCCACTGCCGCCTCCCCAACCCCCACACCAGCCCCCTTCCCAGCTCACCATCCCCCTCCGCAGCTCACCGGCTCCTCCCCAACCCACCAGCCCCCTCCCCATTCCACCAGGCCCCTCCCAGCTCACCAGTCCCCTCCCCAGCCCCCCATCTCCAGCTCACCAAACCCCTCCCCATCCCACTAGCACACTCCCCATCCCAACAGCCCCCTCCCACCCCCTGCAACCATCACCAGAGGCGACGACCCAAAATTGAAATTGTCGTCCATCGAGATGGCCACCGCTCCCTTGCTACCTTATCAACGCCATCGCCGAACACAGATCTCGTGTACCACCACTAGCACCGGCTTAGCACCGGCCTACCCTTATCAGTGTAGATCGAATTCGCCCCCTTAGGGTTCAAAATCAACGACCTCCATTCCCGATTTCATCACAAAGAAAGAGAATAAACAAAAGAGAAGATTGTGTGGATGTGATTCCAGATCAAGACGCTTCAGGGAATAGGGAAGGTGATTGTGTTGCGTGCGTCGAAGGGTCTGGTGCAACGGAGAAGATAGATTGGCCATCTCTTGCGTGCGTCGAAGAGTGAGTAACGTATAAGATGGGCATTTGAAGTATTTTAAAAATAGAGAGAAACAGAAGTCCTATTTCTGGAAAAATTAATAAGAAGTTTAGGAGTAATATATATGCCATTATTTATAGTTATAAATACAAGTACTCCATAATCCGTATAAACTATTTTTAAATGATACCGAGTACACGGTAATAAATCCAAAATTGAAACTTAGGGGAAAACGGAAAAGCAGAAAATCAGCACTTTCCCTCCAAACTCCAGTCACATATTCACATGCGGCGTGCTACGTGGGAGGAGGGTTAACGTGACACATCAGTGGAATCAGCAAAGTGGGACCACCTTTACTACGCGCGCCCACAGGGGTAAAAAGTGTAAAACGCTAAACGGCTAAACCCCTAAAATGAATGCCGCGCCGAGGCAGTCCACAATCGTCAGAGCCCGTGGCAGTCATGTAGTTCAAAGTAACGCTAAGGGCAATAATGTCTTTCCAAGCAAGGGACAGGAATTTCAGTTCATAACAGACAGCTGCCGAGGAGAAAAACCACCATCCAAACCTTTTCTCACTACTGACTCCTCCGTCTCTGCAACCTTTGGTCGGAAACGCGAAAACCTTAACAACTCTCTCGTTGAGGCTTGAAGGTTGTCAAATGGGTGCTGACGAGGTAATGTCTCTTCAACCGGTGTCTTACTCTGCGGCGCAACCACCACTTCAACCCCCAACGACCTACCGTTTCTTGTTCATCCAAAAAAATGAGGATCGATTTTGATCGCGTTCTTAGATTTTTATTTGGGGACTTGGAATTTGGTTTCTGGGTCTTTTTGTGCTTGGTGCGATTACAGTTTCTTTGAGTTACTAACCCTTTTCACTAATTGTTACTGGTGTTTTTGGGTTTGCAGAGATTAACAGCTTTGAAAAAGGCGTATGCTGATATAATACTTAACACGTCTAAGGAAGCGGCGGCGAGGATTATGGTTTCAGAGCGGAAAGCCCTTCGATTTCAACACGAGCTGCAAGTGGTTAAAGAAGACGCCCTTCGGACTCTGCTCAGGATTAAGCAGATGATGGATTCAAAGGTGAGGGATTTGCTAATATATAATATCATCATTGTTATTACGATTACTTTTCTATTTTCTTGGAATGAGTTTGAATTTCACAGAAATATGTTCCCTTTTGGTGAACTATGACTTCATTGAGCGTTTTTTAGTCCCTCATTTTTTTAACCTAGTAGCCAACCATCCAAAGATGGGGTAAGGGCTGGGAAACACCTTACCAATACCTACCAAAGAGAAAAGGAAATTAGCTAATACAGGGAATATCAAGAGTCTAATTCAATAAGAGATAAAATGAAATTGGAAAGACTGTGCTTATTATTAAAAAATTTAAGCTGACTAAGATGTATGTCATCCTGGGCCAAAGCATGAGCTGCAGAGTTAATTTCCCTGCCTGAGCGTTTTTTAGTCCCTCATTTTGCTACTTGAAGAGTTCTTAAATAGTTCTTCAATTTGTGAAGACTGAGATATGCATTTCGGTCCGTTCAGCTTGGTTCTCTATCTATGGTTCTGTTTATTGCATTTGTGATTATGTTATGTGAAAATTTAGACCAACTAGAATGTCATGACTCCAAGAAAGATGGCCCTTTTTGCTGCAAAATTGCCTTTTGGTTTTATTACAAAATGGGTGTGGGTATCAATGGAAGTATGGAACAATTTTCTTGCCAGTATTAACTAGAAATACTCGTTTAATCTTGGAATAGTGGTCATTAATCACATTAGAGACTTTCCCCCACTATATTGAATCAATGGAATCTGGATTATAGATACTCATATGTCAAAGATGGCAGCAAGTCAGACTCTTTTCCTATTTCCAATGCTTTTGTTAGCGCAGACAGAAGAGGCATTTTCCTTGGACAAAACTTAAACTAAAAAAATTCCATATCTATTTGTATCATACCATGAACACCACATATGGCTCTCCATCATGGTTTCCCATCTTTGACCATTGGACATTGGTAATGTAAGAACATTTTTTTAATGTGCCTCTTTATCGAGTAATTGGTCTCAATCGTGAAGCTCTTTTTTCTTGTTATTTTTCGTTAAAAAGGTTTTCCTCATCTGAGTATTTGGCCAGGCAGACATATGTTTTTTAGTAGATGAGCTCAAATAACCATTGCATGTACTGAACAAGCATTCGAAATGAGCATTCCTCTTAGAGAGGATGAACTTCCAGGTTGAATGAAATGGCAAAAGCATTGATAAGAAAGGGCACATGTTAATTCTTTCCCCATTTGGCCCATTATTGATTAGCTCTAGGCAGAGTTCACTATGTGATGCATGGATGACTCATCTCGCTTGTTTAAAATCATTTTAAATTTTTTGAACAGAAAATGCTTTAACTATTAATGATAAAATCCAGCAATTTGTCAACAAACCCACATTCCAAAGCATAGCCCTACGATCAGACCTCAGAGATGGCCACCTCCAAGGAAGCAACTTGAATCGTTGACCACCAAACGGGCTTAACAAAGTCACTAATGACCATCACAGTCTCCCTACTTCTTACCCAGATAGAATTATTAAACTCCCCAGTGGATTACAAAAGTGTAGTCTGACTGAAACTAAATCAAAACAAAGCAAATGAGAAAATGAAAAACAAAACGAAATAACTAGCTTGGGTGCCTTCTTCACCCTTTTGCATCAAAACCAGTAGGACTTACGTCACCTTACTCCCAAACCAGCTTCTGTAAACCTTCCCTCTCCCCAATTCCGGCTGTGCCACCTTCCAAAGAACCTGGTGACAGTTCTCCCGGGTTCCCCATAAATCCTGCTAATCTTTTTTTTTTTAAAATTTATTAATAAAATGGGCTTATAGGCATTGACCAATGACAATGAGTGCTACAGAAGTGGGATTGGGAAGTGTGACAAAGAATTTGTGTTTGAGATTGCCATGTTGTTTTATCTAATTACATGTCTTCTGAAAATCTTTTTGTAAATTTTGGTTGCTCTTCCGTTGTTACTATTCCTTATCCAGTTATCCTATTCTTTTATGTTTTTTTTTTCATTTTTAATCAGCATCTCTTCTGTTGGAAGTAGTGGTTCAACTCTTTTTAAATTAAAAGAAGTGTAAATGGTTTATGGCAACATAGAAGTTGTTTGGATATTGAAGTTATACCAATTTATCATCTAATATCTTTTATTTTGAAAATTTGCCAGACCAAAGCTCTATATTATTACAGCAAAAATCAATTCATCTCCTCATCTTCCCTGCAAATCCATCCAAAACCTAACTCCTAAACATACCCTCAAGCTGTTTGGAGCTATGCAGTCCTAGAAAAAACCTTGTTTCAGGTCAGACTGTGTCATAGAATCTCAAAGACTTATTGATTATATGAAGGATTATCTTCAAAATCTTTGGCTGTGGCAATATAAACGATGCTCTTCTGTGTGCTTTGGTATTAACTATTGCTATCTCCTTCGCCAATTTCCTCAAAATTTGTTTTTTTTGTTACATACCTTTGATTGATAAAGCAAAAGATTCACTATTTTTTGGGTTGGGAATTCGATGTGATTTTCATCATGAGTCATTCGGAAACAGCCTCTTTGTTCTTTAGTACAAGGGTAACTGGGTAAGGTTGCGTACATCCAACCCCCCTGAGCCCACCGTAGGTGGGAGCCTTTGCGACACTGGGGTAATGTTGTGGTATACTTTTGATTGATAATTTGTTGTGCCTCATTTTGACTTCCAACCGGGTGTGTTATTACTATAATTGAGAATTTGGGATTGTGAGTGGAACATACTCTTCTTCCAATAGCAAGTCTCAAACGATCAATTATTATATTTTGGATATGCATATATGCTGAGTTCATAATGTGTATTGACAATTTACAAATGTAACGACTTAATTTGAGGTGATATTATCTAGCTCTATGATAGGTAACGACCTTTTAGCAGTAATTCAGAGAGCTAGCGATGAAGAAAGTAGAGAAACGGTGCAATGGAGGTAGTCGTATAACAGAAAAGAGAGATAAAAGTTCACTGGTAGTTAAAGAATGCCAACTCTCCAAGTCCCAAGCCACTAGGATAATTCCAGCCTAGTCCTTATTACATAACAGCCTGTATTGTTAATAATCCTCCCGGGGGCCCCTTACATAACAGATAGCTATTTAGTATTCCCCTTTCCCCTCCTTGTGTACACCTTATCAAAATAAGTATTATTATTATTATTATTATTACTATTCTGCTGCCTACCTTAGTTTCTATCATCACTCCCCTCTGGAACTGACAAGGTGGAAGTCAGGAAATTGTTTTTGAAACTGCTGGGCTGGAGTCCTTCCCAAGAATCTTCAAACTCTGGCAGATGTCTACAATGGACTAAAATCTCCTTTTCCAGCTTAATTAACTCTACTGTCCATAACTCTCTCTGGAGTAACCTGCAATTCCCACTCTTCTGAAATGCACTTGGGAAGAGGTTGCGACGGTGTCTTGGGAAAAAGTGTTTTCTTTAATAGGGATAAGTGAAATATTGGGTATACTAAACAGTCCTCTGGTAGCTTCAGCTTATACGCAACTGGGTTCACCTTTTCAATAACTTCAAAGGGGCCATAGAATCTGGGACTGAGCTTTTGATTAATCCTCCTAGCCAGACTTCTGAGTTTATAGAGCTGAATTTTTAGGTATACCCAGTTCCCTATGTCCAATGGAACATCCCTTCTATTTTTGTCTGCCTGTTGCTTCATTTTATTCTGAGCAATAGCCAAGGTGCTGCTAAGTTCTTCAATAATACCATTTGTTTCAGCAGTCAACCTGATAACCTCATCAACAGCTGTTAGGGTTGCATCTCCTTTTATCAACACAGGGGGATCTTGACCATATAGTGCTTTATAGGAAGTGTTCTTGATAGAAACGTGGTAGTCGGTGTTGTACCAAAACTCAGCCCAAGCCAACCACTTGGGCCATTCTTTTGGCTTGTTCCCTGTCATGCATCGGAGGTATGTCTCAACACATCTGTTTATAACCTGATAAGTAACTGAAGAATCCAAGAAGAAAGTAGTAGTTTATTAATGAACATTTAGTGAAGGAATACAGAAAGTCATGAAAGGAAAGGTTTGAGACTCTTCGAGTGGTCTCTCACTCCCAATATCCCAGTCCTGATCCCAAGTTCTGCCTCCCATCTAATCCCCACTCACCCTTATTTATTCTATTTCTAATGGGCCAGCCCACTTCTAATAAGTTGTAGGGCCTAAACCCTATTATTGAACAAAACTAAAATGACTTAATAAGGCTCTAATTCTTGGTAGTGTTCAGGTCCCTAACATCACTCCCCCCTTTAACTTCCACCTTGTCCTCAAGGTGGATGATAAGAGACTGATTTTGCATTAGGTTCCAGCAAGTTTTCAGCTCCATCCCGCTCATAAAATTGATCTACTGTGCCCTCCTCTTCTTCTGGCTCTTCCCTCAAGATCAATTGATAATGTTTCATTCCACAAACATGCTCTTTGCCCCATTTGTTTCCACATTTGAAGCATAAGCCCTTCTTGCTTCTTTCTTCTAAGTCTGCTTGTGTCAACCTTTGGCCACCTTCCCATGTCTTACTCGGTTTTGGCGATTCCTCCAGTTTGTTCTCTGAAAGTGTTCTCTCCGGATTTAACGCAGGTGTTCTTCCCTTTGTTGCGTCTACCCAGTTCCAGGGTCTAACCATTTTTCCTCGATGTTCCTTCCAACCTATGTTGTCTTCTTCTTTATTTTTTTTCCCTATCCACACCTTATTCTTCTGCTCCAACAACAAAGCCTTGTCCATCAGTTCAGTTAACCCACTGGTCTGGTGCAACTTCAGTTCCGTGCTAATTTCTTTTTTAAGGCCATTGAGAAACACTCCTTTTAACATCCCTTGGTCAGCAAATTTGAGAGGAGCTACAACCATTTCAAAGTGATCCCGGTATTCCATTACAGAACCAGTTTGCCTAATACTGAGCATAGGACCAAACGGATTCTGCACTAAGGCAGGTTGAAAACGCCGGAACAAAGCATCTTTGAAGTTAACCCAAGAATGGTCATCAGTCTGTTCATCCCACCATTGGTACCAGTTCAGAGCTTTTCCGGCCATGGCTATCAAGATTATTTCTACTTTATCCTCTTCTGCCACATGGTTGAGTTTGAAATAGCGCTCAACCCTAATCAGCCATCCATAAGCATCGTCTCCACTAAAAAGTGGTAAATCGACCTTTCTTCCAGTATATACACGGTCGCTGATTCTCTTCTGATAAGGGCTGCGTGAAACTGAGTGAGTTTCATGAGATTTACCTTCAGAACTAGAGGAGCTCACGCTTGCTGAAGTATGGCGACGACGGTTTGTGGTTGATCGTCCTCTTCTCTTATGGCGGTCACCCTGTAACATGATATTCTTCAATTCGGCCACGGTCTCACGCAAGCCAAGCAGTTCATTCACGGCAGTTCTCACTTCCGCTAGGGTGTTTTCCAGATTTTCCACACGTTGCTCCATTCTCGATCGGGTCAAGACCATGCGCAGGTAAGGCTTTTGTCAATGGCTCTGATACCAATGATAAGTAACTGAAGAATCCAAGAAGAAAGTAGTAGTTTATTAATGAACATTTAGTGAAGGAATACAGAAAGTCATGAAAGGAAAGGTTTGAGACTCTTCGAGTGGTCTCTCACTCCCAATATCCCAGTCCTGATCCCAAGTTCTGCCTCCCATCTAATCCCCACTCACCCTTATTTATTCTATTTCTAATGGGCCAGCCCACTTCTAATAAGTTGTAGGGCCTAAACCCTATTATTGAACAAAACTAAAATGACTTAATAAGGCTCTAATTCTTGGTAGTGTTCAGGTCCCTAACATAACCTCAGTTTGGTCATCGGTTTGGGGATGGTAAGCCGTGCTGTACTGGAATTTAGTCCCTGCAAGCTTGAATAATTCTGTCCAGAACGAGCTTAAAAACACTCTATCCCTGCCTGCTTCACGCTCAGCATGGGACCGAAGGGAGTCTGAACCAATTCTGGTTGGAACCTTCGAATTAAAGCCGCTTTAAATTGTTCCCAGTCACGGACATCAGCTTGTCCTCCCTCCCACCACTGGAACCAATTTAAAGCTTTCTCTTCCATAGCTAAGGACTAAGGTTACCACCTCCACCTTGTCATCGTCCAACCATAAGCATCTTCTCCATTAAAAATTGGAAGACAACCTTCCTTCCAGTTTTCATAAACAGTTTCGACATACCTCCTGACTACGACAAACGAAGTCGATCGCGAATTACCTCCTGACTCCGACAAATCTTGGCTATCACGTCAGTGGTTTCGCTCGACGGTTCTGGATCTACCTCGCGAGCGATGGTTCTGCTGCTAAACCAGTAAATCGTGCAACTCCGCAATCGTCGAGTGCATGTTTCACATTTCTGTACTGTGTTGCGTTCCACATTGCGCTCTATCGTTTCCAGTCTGCTTTCCATATTGCTGCGAGTCACAACCATCTACAGGCTACAAGATTCATTCTCTGATACCAATGATAAGTGTTAAGACCCGGGGTTCCATCCTAAAAGGTCAACCTTGATAGGAGGAGTAGCCCAAAGCCTTATATAGTGTTTTATTATTTTATAGCTTTCCGGTGTGGGACAAATACTTCAACAATAGGTAACGACCTACAACAACAACAACAACCAAGCCTTAATCCCAAAAGAATTTGGGGTCGGCTAACATGAATCGATCTATGATATCAAAAATGCCAAAAAGAGAAGACGAACAAGAAAGGGAAGACAAAAAAGTAAGATAAAATGAATAAAATAAAGAAAAATAAATATAAGATAACAATAACATAACAATATAAGAAAGATTCATTTTCATTTACCCCAGTGCCGCAAAGGCTCCCACCTACGGTGGGGTAGGGGGGTCGGATGTACGCAGTCTTACCCCTGTACTAAAGCACAGAGAAACTGTTTCCGGATGACCCATAGTGAAAATCGCGTCCAAAATTGCATGGACTGTCTGTTGCTCCATAACAAAGAAGCGCAGACAGTTTAGTGACCCATTTTGCTTTATATAAGAACATAAAAGATAAAAATTAAAAGAGCATAAAAAGCTAGAAGATACAAATAACATAAAAATATAAAAAAATAAGGAAGATAAACGATAAAAAGAAAAAAGAGAGGAAAGGTAGAAAAGACATCAATCGTCTACACGGATGTGCCCCTCCACTTTGCTCTCTCCAAAGCCATACTCTCATCCAACCCAAGAAGATGCATATCAGTTCTTATTCCTCTAATCCAGGTCTGTTTGGGTCTTCCCCTCCCTCTCTTCTCTACCTCTTCTCCCCACCCCTCAAGTCGTCTAACAGATGCATCACTCGGTCTTCTACGCACATGCCCAAACCACCGCAAACGAGACTCTTGCATTTTATCTTCTATAGGTGCTACTCTCACCTTTTGTCTGATTACCTCATTCCTCAAGCGTTCTTTTCTGGTATGTCCACACATCCAACACAACATACACATCTCTGCCACACTCATCTTTTGAATGTGGCATTGCTTCACCGCCCAACACTCTACGCCATACATTAATGCCGGCTTAATTATTGTACGATAAAATTATAGGTAACGACCTATCGACAGTAATTCAGAGAGCTGGCGATGGAAGTAATCATATAACAGAAAAGAGAGAAAAGTTCACATAAAAGAGTGCCAACTCTCCAAGTCCGGAGAATTCCAGCTTACCCCTTATTACATAACAGCCTGTATTTATAATAATCCTCCCGGGGGCCCTTACATAACAGATAGCTATTTAGTGTTCCCCTATCCCCTCCTTGTGTACACCACACCTTATCAAAATAAGTAGTATTATTGTTATTACTATTCTGTTGCCTTCCTTGGTTTCTATCATTCTAATAAGTTGTATGAGTAGCCGTTACATTAATGCCGGCTTAATGGTTGTACGATAAAATTATAGGTAACGACCTATCGACAGTAATTCAGAGAGCTGGCGATGAAGAAAATAGAGAAACGACGCAATGGAAATAATCATATAACAGAAAAGAGAGAGAAAAGTTCACATAAAAGAGTGCCAACTCTCCAAGTCCGGAGAATTCCAGCCTACCCCTTATTACATAACAGCCTGTATTTATAATAATCCTCCCGGGGCCGCTTACATAACAGATAGCTATTTAGTGTTCCCCTATCCCCTCCTTGTGTACACCACACCTTATCAAAATAAGTAGTATTATTGTTATTACTATTCTGTTGCCTTCCTTGGTTTCTATCATTCTAATAAGTTGTATGAGTAGCCGTTACAGTAAAGGTTGTTTCAGCAAACATCCAGCATGCGTAGTTATATGTGTTGAAACTACATCTTTCTGGCTGTGTGTATAACAAACATATACAAATCTAGACCCCCCTTTCTTAATTTCTTATACTTATTTCTGGGTATATTTGATAATAAAAGTAATTGCTCATTTTAATGCAAATCTCTAAAACCACCTTCAGAACTCCAAACATTGTCTGCATTACTGCTATGGTGTTTACATGTTTGGCAACTCAAAAAAACATAACAAACGTGTTCAGGTGTGAATAAAAGAATTCTTTTTTTTTTCTCAATGTGGAGCTTAATTATGGAAGTGAGATATTTATTCATGCCATTGTTATAGTCTTCTATACCTGTTTCCATGATTTTTTATTGTTTGTTGCAGTTTCCCCCTGATTTCTATTCTTAAACATCCTTTCTTTCGGTCACACCTGCTATTATGGGCCCAGTGTGCTTTTTTTTCACTCCACACCTGGAAAACAATTATAATACTGATTCTGAAGCATTATACCGAACTAAATTGACAGATAAATGAAGCGGAGTCAACACGGTTGAGTCAACAGAGAAAGATTGAAGAACTAGAAGCACAGCTACATGAGGCTGAGGATATTGTAAGTGATCTTAGAGGAGAGTTGAGAGAAGCGCATGCTGCACTGGAGAGAGTGAAAATCAACAAACAAAGTGCTCATAGAGAACCCAAGGAGAACACGGTATTCTGTGCATCAGAACTTCAAGATGGACATGTGGCAGTTCCTGACATCGTCAAGAACATGAACCTTATCCAGATAAATGAGGGCTACAAGTCTTGTAGCAGGACAGTTAATCACACGGGCAACACTTATTTCTCACACCCTGATCTGCCCTCTATAATACTGAGAAGTAAGGAACCGGAGCTGTACAGGAACGGATGCACACAAAGAATCCGTGCTTGTGAAGGAAACACGTTAGCCAAGGAACTCTCACTTTCAGGGAAAAAGACAGGAAGAAATGATGAGAATAAAGAAGTCTGTGTAATACCTGCTGAGAAGGAAGTAGTGGTGGAAGAAGCAGACAGATTGGTGAGCTTCAGTTCATTTAATAAGAAGAGGAAGAGAGCAAATAGATATGGAAAAGGCCGAGTTGCTTTAGATGGAAACCTTCCCCCGACTCCTCCTTCTCTGGTGAAGACGGATGACGAAGGACAACCTAATAATAACAACCTTGATTGTGATGAGAAGAAAGAAGAGAGCATGGTTCTCTCAAAATCTTCTTACAGGAAAAGAAAACGGGCAAAAAGAAATAGAAAATATGGAACTGATTTGGATAGAAACCTTCCTGATCATTCTTCTGAGATGACTCCATTATCATCATCTCCAGAAAGAGATGACTCAAAACCTGAACTTGTTGAGTCTCATGGGGTTGAGAAAGAAGTTTCAGATCATAATGGATTGGCAGAAGTGGTGGCACCTGCATTGCAGGAAACTGGATCTACAGGGAGTTCAGGGATCACAGTTCATGATAAATCAGGTTTAAAGGTGTGTGATGCTGCCAAGGATGAAAATAGGACCTTCAAATATACATTCCAGAGAAAGCGGAAGCGGGGACCACCCTCTTCCAGAGAAGTTGATGATTCTGCACATAATGCTTCTGCACACAACTGTACTGTGGTGAAGAATGAAGAGGAGAAACAACAAAGTGTTGTTTTGGTAGATCAGCGGCCAAAGTTGTCAGCAGAATCATCTCGAGATAGTAGGAGAATGGCACAGGTTGCCCGCCAGGTTAGTCATAATTGGATTGCTCGTTTAATAAACTAAGATTGGTCATGCAAGTTTATCCTTTTAAGGCGTTTTTCCATTGTTTTTTGCTTAAGTCTAAAAACAGTTCTGTAAGGAAGTGCTTCTACTTAACTTTAAGTACTTTGAAGCTGAAAGCAAAGTGAAGAGTGCTTAATTGCTTTTCAGTGTATTTAATTTTTGTAATATTTCACCCAAAATCCTAAATAATACATCAAACATTGCTTTTTCTCCAAAGCCTTCAACTTCTACTTATTAAAATCACTTCATTTTCAAACACCGCAAACTTTACCCATAAAGTAATCACTGAAATGAACCACTCGTCGAAGCACAAACAAATGCAACACTGCCTTAGAATTTACGTGTGGTGGTCGGTAAACTTGGATTTATGTGACTACTAACTTGCTTCTTTACTGTTACTCCCTCTGTCCCGCTAACAATGGGACAAGAGGGAGTGGCATGAAAATTAATAAAAAGTGGTTTATGTGGTTGATATTGAATTGATAAAGTAAGAATAAAGTAAGAATGATTTAGAGCCACACAAACTTTACCAAATTTGGTATGGGACAATCTTAGTGGGACGGACTGATAAGGTAAAATGGACAATCATAGCGGGACGGAGGTAGTATTTTGTTATTTCTAGTACTGTTGTTGTTGGTGGTGGTGCAGTTGTTGTTGCTGGTGGTGCAGTTGTTGTTCATCTGACCAAAAAAATAAACACAAGTCTTTGTTCAATTCTTCAGATTTTAACAAGTTTGATACTTTAGTTGATTGCTTTAATAAAATAGAAAAATCTTGTTAATGCAAGTATAGCCAAGATTACTCTAATAAATGGCGGCATTGGTTTCAAATTTGTGAATTCTTCTCTGAGGATGGTTGAAACTTTAATATCCTACTGAGATTTTATTTCATATAGCTTTCTTGGCAAACATTGTAAACCAAATATTATCCATCTTTCTTCTAATATTATGTGTCTCTTCCTTGTTTACATCCGGCAGCTCATATCATTGTCAGAGAAGAAGTGGTGGCAATGAATATAAAGTCTGCCACAGGAAGGAAAACATACCCTCTGTGAACTTGTATGATCCAGGATGGTTGGTTAGTTCCTGGTGAGCATTGAAAAGCTGCGATGGAATAGATAATCACATAAATATGACAGTAGTAGAGATGTTAATTGTATGGCATCAAATATTGATGCCAAGTTCCATACGTTGTTGTTGTGACTGAGACTTGACATTCTGTGGAAGTATATAAACTTCTTCCTCCATTTACGTTAATCAAATGTACGGAGTAAATGTTTCTAGAAATTCATTTCAAGCATTTAGTAGATTCATCCCTTCTCGTGCTTCAGAACCACATATAATTTCAATTTTAATTTCGATTCAATATGGAATGCCCAAATTCATAATATGAATTCTGAACTGGGTTTAGTGCCTACAGCCATCTATCATGGGTATACCCGGTTCTGGAACCACACTATGATTGGGACGGGTGTTTTCGACTAGGGATGGACTGGGATGGGTCGGCCCGGGACCCGACCCAGCCCGATACTGTGCAGGCCCAGCCCGATACTGTGCAAATCCGGCCCGGGTGCGCGGTATTGGGGGCCGAACTGGGTGGAAGAGGGGCGGGCTACGAGCCTTGCAAAATGTGAACCACCCACCCCGCCGAAACACCCAACCCAATGGCCCAACCCACCTAGCACCTCGCCTAATGCGAAAAAAATGGGCCCAAACTGGTCCCAAGCCGGTCCGCCAAATAACCATCTTGTAGCCTACCCCTAAACCCCCGGTTTGACCCAATCATGGTCCTGTCCAGGCGGTCCGGGCTGGTCCCGCTTAGTAACGGGCCGGGCCGGCTACCGGGTCAGGCTGAAGCGGCGCCCAATCCACCCCTAATTCTAAGTAACCTCTTGAAATGACCTAGGACTGGAATAAGCCCATCCCCCAATGTTGGCGGGTGAGGAAAAACTAGCAGGAATTTATAGGAATTTCCTGAAGAGAGCTTCTAATGCATTAAGAGTCTGTTTGGTAACATGAAAATCGGCTGATTCGATTGATTCTACTGAAATTTATGAAGTTTTAGCTGAAGTGGCTGCATCGGTTGATTATACTGATTTAAGAAAAAATTATTTTTTAAATATATTTTATCAATAAAATAATGAAAAAAATATATGTAAAAATAACTAAAATGGTCGTCTACAGTAACTTCAACCAATACAGCCTGAAAAGTAACTCCAACCTTACTTTTTCTTATTATTACACAATTCAACGTGCGAAAACAAAAGTTACATGTTTGATGAAAAAGTTGACCGATAAGCCGCAAAACAATATTACCAAACAGCCTCTAAACCAAATGCAAGAGTAACAGAGAATTGGAAGAATGGATATTATTTGTTCAAATTACCAGACAATGGTATGACATTCTTAAACAAGAGAATGTGCGTCATGGGGTAATTAAATATGTATAGTTCAACTCAAAAACATAAATTCCAAGTAAGGATGAGTAGTAGTAACATTACTAATAATATTTTATACACGTACTCTCTCTCTCATACACATGATATTGTGCATGTTCTTTCAGAATCCACTTGTGGAATGAAATTCATTCTTGAGCCAATGGATTTAAAATAAACCCATGGTTGCCTTGGAATTGGAACCTCCTACTACTCTCTACCCTCAACCCTTCACGAACTCCAACTGTACTCTGTGCAGTGACCTGAGAGGGTAAACGCCTCTTCCAAAGTCTTGAACTAAAAAACTCTGCACTGGGTAGTTTGCAACATGTGAATGAAGTCTTTCTATTTGATGATAATTGTTGTCGATTTGACACAGCCAAGTCCTGTGAGATCCCATCTAATGCCAACTCTAGGCCACGAACCCGTGTCTCCAAGGAATGCATCCCACTCTGTGTATTCCCAATGAATTTCTGGATGAACAATGAAATGGTTATTGGGTTTTTTCCTTAATTTCCAGAAAATAACACTTCAAAGCAAAAATAGTTGGACTTTTCAGTGTAAACTGGTAGGTCATGCTTCTCCAAGATAACCACTGTGAGTTTCACGGTTTTACCCCAATATGAAGCGGTGTAACTTCATACAATTCAACGTACGGTTACCTACAAATGTATAAGAGTGTCACTTGGCACTCTACTGAAAATTTTATAATGAATAATCGATCACACCATGATTCTGCTGATACTCAGCACAACCCTTACTTTTCTTGGCTAATTTAAGCTTAACCGACACAATTGTCCCTCTATTTTTGCACTTTCTCAAATTTATGAAAATTATCAATACCCTTTTAGCTACATACACAACACTTTTAATTCAACCAACTGGGTGATTCACCATTATGGCCGTTGCAACAACCGCCAATCAGGCTTCTAATTGCAAGCCTAGGGCTATGTTCGGAACACAAAAAATGGCACGAAACAGGAGAAATGAAGTGAAAATATTTTAAAATATAAGTGAAATGTGTCCTTGAAAATGTGTCCTTGAAAGTATCTAAAATTGATTGATTGAGAGTTTGAAACAATTTTGTTTCCCATGAATTTTCTGTCCTGATTTTCCTTTGCATTTCCATTCCTATTTCATTTCCCTTGCATTTGACAGATTCCAGAGGGACCCCAAAGCGTTCTTGACAGGAATAATCAGGCATGCTCTTGTACTATGTAGTACTAGACTAGACCATTAGCCATGTACGGGGTGATAGTGGAAAAGAGAACATTGTCAAGCACAAGGCCACAAGCAAGTTACCTGGACAATGTCTAACAACTTGGACTGCTGCTTTTCAATTTGAACTAGTTGATTCTGAATTTGAGACAGTTCTTCACATTCTTTCGAGTTCGTGCGAAGGTCCCCAGTTTCGCTACTCAAGACAATGGTGGCCTGCTCAGATCTCTCTTCATCGTATGGGACAACACGAGATCCAGCACTTTTCTGTTGTATAAATAGGGCTCTTCTGGTTTCTGGATTTGTACATTTCTCATCCTTATATTTCAAATTATCCCATGGTGGAGTGCCTTGAGATGCAGAAACTTCAGTCTTTACTTCATGAGGCTTCTTGCGGTCAAGCTTGCCAAATACTGCAGAAGCGGATTTCTTTTGGGTACCCTCTAGAAAACTCCTCCTCCTAACTGTGGTAGCAGGTGAACGGTCAGGAAAATGGGACTTGTTGATTGGAGTGGTGTATTTTTTACTATGATTTGAAGCACCCGAGCTCATCCTGTACGAAATCTTGGAGCGAGGCGGATAACACCCATCTCTAGTTTTTTCTGTGTCAATGGCAGACATGAAAGAAATTTAATGTTAGGATTACTTTTATGGTCAAAATCTGCAGAATGTAAATGATATACTGTGTTCAGAAAGAAGTAACAGTCTAACACGAGTGATAAACTTGATTCTAGAATACAGTTTATAAAGAAAAGTTGCAGAACCTACATGCTATGATAATAATAATTATCATAGCATGTACCAAATGAAGCATAGCAATAATAAACGCAGAATGAAACAAATTAGATTAAAAGGTTAGCTTAGGAAAGAAGTGTTCATATGGATACGCAGAATCCAACTCCGTACTAGGTATTACTATAAACAGAATTTAAGAAAGAAGTATTCTGAAAAAGAGACTGCGAATAGGATACCTTTGGATGAAGTAGAGGATTCTGTTTGAGGTGAAATATCATCAGAGGAGTCGGGAATCTCCTTCCACGCCTCCAACATCTGATCTATTGACTCCCTCACTGCTTTTACCTACATCATCAATCAGAAAAACCATTAACTCGATCAAATCATGACAAAGTCAGTCTTCAATAAACGAGTCAATTCGGATCAAATCCAGCAAAATTTTAACTTTATTAGCCAAAATATATACGGAGTATATTTACTAAGGTAAAATTTAAAATATAACGATTGAGCCCAGTGATACCTTATCGAATCTTCTACCCTCGAAATCCCTCAAGTAAGATGCCTTGAACTCCTTCAACATTTCTTTCTCCATCGTGGCGAGCCTCAACAAAGCCTCGAAAGCTGCCTTCCTCACTGCCCAATCATCGCTCTTGACGAAACCTACCAAACACGGCACTAAATTTGTGACCACCAACTGGCTAGAAGCGCCTCCAATGCTAACTACACTACCGATCAGGGTGAGAAGCGCCGCCTTAGCCTTGAAGCTGTCGCATCTGAGGAGCTTCTCGAATCGCGGCATCAGCTTCCTTAGGCATGCAGCATCCGGATCAGGCGCTGCATCAATCACAGCCGACAAGCATAGCGCGGCACCGATCTGGGAGTTCATTTCCTGCTCCGTGAATAACGCATTTAGGAGTGGATTGATGATGGAAGGGAAGGGGGGCTTGGTGATGTGCGAGGAGATGGATCCACAAGCGGCGATGCAAGCAGAACGGACAGAGGTGTTGGGATCGCGTAGGCGGCGGACGACGGCGGAGAGGAGTTTGGACAGATGGGGGGATAGACAGTCACCATGTTCCTCAGAGAGCAGAGAGATAAGGCGGAGGCATTGCTTGCGTACCGGGGACTTGTCGGAGGAATCAGTGGCTGAGATTGATGAAAGGAAAAGAGGAATCGTCTCCGGCGAAAGAGTTTTAACAACCGACTCGAGCTCAGAGGCCGCGGCGGAATGCGTATCCCGGTCGGAGAGTTTGTGGATGCATGCGAGCACGTGGTGCTTCAGGTCACGTGCTTGGATCTGTTTCTGCTTATTTGTCGCCGCCATTTCTCACGGTCGGAAAGGGGATTGTGGAATCGAAGAGTATTCACAAGTGGCTGGTGGCGCCGCCGTAATCTGCCGCAGCATAGCGGTGGCTGCTTGGCGGTTTCCTTTTTTGCTTTCAGAGTGAGTTTGGTACCTCTCTCTCCTCTCTTTCTAGGAGTGAGGTGCCGCTAATCTAGTTAATTTAGGCCTTGCTGAACTGTCCCAAACATTTCTTGTATACGCGCCATTTATAACAAATTGCAACTCAATTTCAGGGGAAGATAATCTTTTCATTCACAAATTTATTTGGATATTAAAATAATACTCCCTCCCTCTCGAAATTATCTTCATTTTTTCATTTTCGATCCGTCCCAAATTTATCTCATATTTCCCTTTTTTGTAAACAATATGTGATTCACAACCATTCTTACATATTTCTCTTTCCTCTGCACAACTCTCCACCACACAAATCCCACTATCTTAATCCATGCGCCCAGTCAAAACCGGAGTTAATTATGGGACGGAGGGAGTAAAATGGAAATTATGAAACTACCTCCGTCCCAATTTCATTTGCAAATATGATTTTTTTGTCAAACAAATTCATTTTATTTATTTAAATAATATGTCAATTTTTAATTATATTCTAATTTGAAGTTTACAACTTTACAGAAATTTCATCATATTTCAGAATATATAAATTTTAATTATTAAAAATTGAATTAATTATTGATTGAGGGCATTGACCTTTTTTTATTGATCGACAAAAAAATGTTGACTTTGCAAAATAATTTGAGACGAATGGAGTACAATTTATCTAGTTGTTATATACTCCGTACGGATTCAAGGGAAATATATATTACTCCGTATCATAAAGATGATTCAATTAAGAGATCGGTATATATTTTAATCCTATATTATTTGTAATGGATGTTTTTAAATATTGGATGCAAACTCACAAAAAATGAGTCATATGAGTATGATAGTTGAGAAAATTATGCGTTACTTGTTTTTTTTATATTATTTAAAGAAAATTATGCAAACTCACAAAATGCGTTACTATGTAGAATTAGAGGTACTATTGTATACGGAGTATTATTAGTGGTACTATTGTATATTACTCGGTATGTTTAAAAGATGTAATACCTCCTCCGTCCTTTTTAAAAGGTTTTTGTGACAAAACGGTATTATTGTTTAGATGATAATTAAATAAGATAATTCGAGTATATTTTTAGAAATAATTTTGAATGGTATATAATATAATAAGGTTAATATAGATAACTGTAATTTTATAAATGTAATATTTTTAATATTTGATGATTAAATTATCGTTTATGATTGTTAATTGTATTATTTTATAAAATAGAAATATGAACCTTTATATGAGACGTCAAAAAAGAAAAATTAGAACCTTTCTATGAGATGGGTGGAGTAGAATGTGTGATAATAAATTAAAATTTGAATAATATTTTGTCCATTCTTAAACATATAAATAAAAAGAATCATAAAATGTAAGAAGGCCCTAGGTAGGATCCGACCTATCAAATGTAGGGTGTAAGAAGTTTACATAATGTAAATTTCATAAATAATTTACATTATTCCAACAATATCATGTAAAATATTACTCATTTCGTCCTATTGGAAGGTCATGTGAGTAAATGACGTGATTTTTTAGACAAGTGATTAAATAAATTAATTTGGGTAAAAAAAGAGGAAAAAAATTAAGAAAAAGTAAACATATGATTAAATAAGATAAATTGGGAGGGTAAATTGTGAGACTTGACGTTCAATGAGTATGAAAGAAAAATTCGAGTAAAAGTATAATTTGAGTAAATTATTTCTTAAGAAAAGTGAGAACCTTTCAACTCGATGAAGGTGTATATGTGAGGGGTGGTGGTAGCATATTTTACATGTTTTTATAAATCAATAGAATGACAATGTATGTAACTTAAAAATAAATCATACACCTAACATTTCAATATTTATTTATTTTACATGCAAAATGATTGTTGATTGAAAAGTTTTAATGTATAAATTAACAAATGAGACAAATGAGACTCGTTGTGTATCAAACCACCTATAGTATTATTTCATACAAAGACCTTTGTTTGCTTTGTGTACTTAGTGGTGTTTGCTTTTTTAGTCTTTCATTATACTTATTAATTAATTATTACGTAGTACAAACAACAATTGTCATTGTTTAATGGCTACTATAAAGTTCACTAGTTTAGCGACGCGTGATCCGCGTCCGTGTAATTGCCCAATGACATGTAAGCATATTACTTTATCAGGTTAGGTTGAGTGAATGCATGAACAATTCGATTAAATTATTTGTATACATTTTTTTAATATTCGATGAACAAACTATAAGAAGAAAATGTTTGTAGCTAAGATTGTATAGGGGAAATAAAGCAATCAAAATGACTATAATAACCATAATAGTAGGATAAACCAAACATTCCAGCCCAACTGGGTGTGAGGTTAGTGTGCCTTGTGGGAGGTCTCGAGTTCGAAACCCGCTAGGCACATAAGGGTTTGAAACTCAATGGAGTGAGTTTAAGCCATGATTACTTCAGTCCCCCCCCCCCCCCCCAGACCCTTCCCCCAGACCTCCTGGAGTAAAAAACCCATAATAGTAGGATAAGATTCATATTAGCCCGACTATTAGCCGAACGAACCTTACCTCCAATCAAAAAGCCCATCTCCGTTCCCTCGAAACCCATGCTGCTTGCCGTGATAAATTCCACGCCTATAAACATCCACATGAGGATCCCGATGACTCCGAACCTCATAAGGGGGAGAAAAGGCGACAATTACATGAGTAAGGAACCTCATCCGCTCAAGCTCAAGTCTCAACCCTCATTCTCTAACACCTAACCACCCTCCCTCAGGTTAGTCATAATTGGGCTGTTTATTTAATAAAACTAAGATTGGTCATTCAACTTTATTGTTTTAAGGTGCATTTCCATTGTGATGGAGTATGAACTCCTAGAGAGAAGTGAGAGCTAGAGAGAGAAGTGATTTGCATTAATGAATTTTCAACCCTTTACATGGCTCCCATGTGGAGTATTTATAGGGAAAATATGGGTTGGGCTCCCAAGTCTTGGGCTTGGGAGGCCCATTACAATATAAAGCCTCTATTGGGCTGATTACATTAGAAGCCTAGTTATGTGAGTTCCTTCTAGCCGAGGGAGGCACCGGCCGAGGGAGGACAAGCCTTCTCCTTAGCTTCTGGAGCGTATTCTGGATTGACTCTTCTTCGGCCGATGGGGTGCCATCTGGCCGACGGAGGGCCCACTGGATGACAGTTGTGCTCCTCTTAGTCTTCTGAGTATGTGGGTCATGGGGTGTGGACCCATATACTCCATCAGGAGTCCCCCACTCTCTGAGCTGAGATGCAGACGGAGTGAAAGGGAGTAGATTCTTGTTGCCTTGATGCTTTAGGCCGACAAAGGATTACTTGGGAGTTCTAGTGTTCCCAACCGAGGTGGTGCCATAATTGTTGGTTGCCTTTTGTCCTTCATTTCGAGGATGATGACTGTCCTTCATTTCGAGGACGATGTGTGTCCTTCATTTGGAGGACGATGCGCGGTCTCAGTTGTGAAGGTGACATGACCTCTCTTAGGCCGTCGCTGACTTTGAGGACGATCGGGGTCCTGGACCAGAAGACATTGTGCGCCATTGGTTTTGCGGACGATGAATATCCTGCCTTTAACTTTAGCTGATGGATCATACGCTTGTGGACGTTGGGGCTGTTATTTTCTTATTTTTGCCGAGGGTGGAGCATATGACCCAAGGCCGTTGGAACGCTGCATGTCGAGGGACAACACGTGTCACGTTCTAGGTGGTGTGTTTGAGCTTTGCTTCCTTGTTTTCTTATTTTGTTATGGCCGAGGGTGTACCAAAAGGTCCTGGACGTTGTGGTGCATAGACGATACGATGTTTGTTGCAGTTGTATACTCGTGTGTTCTTGGATTTTCAATTTTATCCTTGCGTTTGGAGGCCGATGTAGTCCCCCAGTCCCCCACTGCCTGAGGCGATAGTACTCGAGGCGAAAGGGAGTAGAGCAATGCACATCTTCAATAGGGGGCAGATGGTTGACGCCTTTTGATCCACAATGGGGAGATGCCTCATTAAAAACCTCATTAGGAAAAACTTTGTTGGAAAAAACACTAATGAGGGAAAAAGAGTGCACCGGTTGCCCCCAGGATGAAGCAAAAGTAGTGAACCCTTCGGCCTGGGTGTGGAGCTGAAGCGATGACTGTCTACTGAGGGGACACTCGTCTGAAGATGAGGATGACGACGCTGATGAGCCGGTCCGAATATGAGGACGAGGTGATGGACGTCTGTCGGATCATGAGGACAAGGCGGTGGATGCCTGTCTGAATATGAGGACGACAGTGGTGATGAGTCGTGCATTGTATGAAGGAGACAGTCGCTATCCAGGAAGAGAATGGCGAGCCCTGTCGTTAGCTTAAGACTTCAGCGTTGGGGAAGCCGGTCTTGAGATATAGAATCACGCTGAGGCCGAGGGGCCGTTCGTGATATGAGGACGACGACAATGAGGAGCCGGTCCAATAAATGATGACGAAGCGATGATGGAGTCGATCTTCATATAGAGGTGATGGTCACCATCCAGGAAGGGATGGTGAGCCCAATCGCTAGATCAAGACTTTGGCGCTGAGGAGCCGGTCTTGATGTAGATAATCACGCCGTAGCCGATGGGACGGTCGTGATATGAGGACGACGGCGTTGAGGAGCTGGTCCAATAAATGATGATGGGGCGATGATGAAGCCGATCGTCATATAAAGGCGATGGTCACCATTCAGGAAGGGATGACGAGCCAAATCACTAGCTCAAGACATTCGGCGTTGGGAAAACCGGTCTTGAGAAATGGAATCATGTTGAGGCCGAGGGGCCGTTCGTGATCTGAGGAAATCGGTGTTGATGAATCTGATCGTCATATAAAGGCGATAGTCACCATCCGTGAGGGGATGGCGAGCCCGATTGCTAGATCAAGACTTCGGCGCTGAGGAGACAGTCCTGATGCAGATAATCACGTCGTAGCCGAGGGGATGGCTGTGATGTGCGGATGGCAAATGAGAAGGAGCCAATCCGAAAATATGATGATGAGGTGATCATGAGCCGGTCGTCATATAAAAGCGTCGGTCACCATCTAGGAAAGGATTGTGAGCCCGATCGCTATAACAAGACTTCAGCGTTGAGGATCCGGTCTTAAGATATATCATCACGCCGAGGCGGAGGGGCCGGACGTGATGTATA